CGAGCTTCCACAGTTCATTTGCAACGGGCATGCGACACCACTAACATTGCCCGTCTCAGCAGCCTAGTAACGTGAGCTCGTTCTGAGCATGACGTACGAGGACTGGACCCGCCCCAGGCTCGAGAACCCGCACCGCAAACATATTCTCGATTCCCTGATTAGTTTCGTCCGCTCATCGGGGATCGCCTGTTACATTTAGCCTCCTCCCCCTACCCTTCCCATAATCCCCTTCCCCCGTCACGATCGGATGACTTTATCAAGAAATCGTGATGTATCCCATTCCTTTAATAAATACGTTTTCTCACTCACTCATGACCACTGAAGAAGGCGATCGAGCCGACGATGTCGCGGACGATGTAGCAGACGATGGTGTTCATCCGGGCTACCTATAGGGGGCGCTGAGGGGATCTACATAGGGTTGACGTTGAGAGGAGGAAACGCGCAGGCCTTGTTTTCTAGGTGGTATTGCCTGAGCACGCGCGTTGGGTCTCTTCCGCAAAATACCAGGGTAGCTTGCTAGAAACAGCGTTTCAAGAGAGGCTGGGTGAAAGAAATCACAGCTGCAAAAGCTGGAGTGCGCGAGCGTCTTGAGACGCGGTTTGAGTCCCGCTCAGCTCGTGCACTGGCTTTGGCGATGCTTTCTTTGCCCCAGACTCAGCTGAGACGCTGTTTCTAGCATCCCGGCCCAGACAGCACGGATGCGCTTAAAGCCCCGTGAGCCGGATATTTTTGGACGGGCGATAAGGGCTGGAAATGTGCACGCCGAACGTCACTCATTTCCTTATTTTAATCAGTTCAACCAACGAGACAAGTGAATGGCGTCGTGCTCTGATATACGGTTTCAGTGGTGGCAAAAAAAAACAAAACATCTCCGCCTTTTTTGGCTTGAAACACCAATAGTGCGCTTACTGCTCCCCGTTCTTTAGTGTTTATTATAATCCTTCGAATGCCTCACCCGAGTATACCCGGAAGCGTTCCCATGCAGGTTTCAGCTTCGATTTGCTCCCTACGTGCCCCAGCTGGGCTGTCAATTTTATTTTCACGTGTAAAGCAATGTTTTGCATCGTAATAACACCTGATGACGGAATGTGGAAAGTTTGGTTTAGGGAATTTTATGACTCGGTTTGCTTCTTTCTTGTAGAAAGGAAGGCGTATGCCGTTCAACTTCGCACCTAATCGACAAAACTGAGATCCAGAAATCAGTAATAAATTTAATAAGAACCAGTTACAAACAAAAAAATTATGGTTAAGGCCACTCGAAAAGTGTGACACCAGGGCGCGAGACCTGGAAGCTACTTTGCGTAGTATTGTGCCTCGAAAAGTATAATTAGGGAAACATATCGGCTGATGGCATGCAGACATATTAAAAGGGCCCATAGATAGCGTCTCTTCGATAAATAAATGTACTCCATAAAGCATGCTACATTTTTCCTGCATAGAACCAATATTTGTGTTCGACATACGGAAAAAAACCCGCTACGGAAAATGCTAACATCGTCAGGCGAATTCCATAAAAAACACCGACGTGTTCCAGCGACACGTTACGAAGTTGGATCTCAGCGTTGCGGAAAGTTTAAAGCCACATATAATTATATATGAGCCAATCTGGCCCATTTAGATCGAACATACGAGGGTCGTTCTTAAAATTCTTAATGATAGTGGCATAAAAAAAAAAGCTTGAGGTACACCTAAGCATGCCTTATGAGTTGTGAATGCGAAAGCATGCAAGCCGCTCGTCCGCTCCCTTTGTCGTCTGCTGCGAACTACGCGCTTCGGGATCTCGGAGGCTATGGCGCAGCGGCCAATGGGAGCCCCGTAGATGCACGCCAGCCAATGGAACTGAAGGCGAATCGCTCCTACTGGGATCACGGCGGAAACTAGGAGCTATTTTCGCGCTTCAAACTGATGATGTCAGTTCGCTCCATACAAAAGTTAATGCATTCGGGTTAAAAAAAAAAAAAAAAAAAATATATATATATATATATATAAAACTGAGAAGAAAAAAACCCTTAGTGAAAAACAGCAACAACGGACGATTTAATCTTCGACGTTTCGGCCGGAGTCCGGCCTTCCTGACGAAGGCCGGACTCCGGCCGAAACGTCGAAGATTAAATCGTCCGTTGTTGCTGTTTTTCACTAAGGGTTTTTTTCTTCTCAGTTTTATACCCACGCCTTCGGCCTCCCGCCACCATGCCCGTTATATATATATATATATATATATATATATATATATATATATATATATATAGATATATATCGCAAACAATATGCAGTGTGGGACGTTTCTAGTTTCCGCACGTTCAATATGCTTCTCACTAACTGTCCAGTCAATTTCATATGCCCAGTGATTCGCACATCACGATTCTGGCCCGTTGGGTTCCGCTACCACTCCGGCCCATGCGGGAATAGTGCCGAAATGAATCTACAACGGAAATGGTACAGCGTTTCCAAGCTAACCTTGACGAGTTCTTTGATCGTCTGGTCGCCATGGATGAGTGTTAGGTGTGCCATTGCAACCCCAAGACGAATTAACAAAGCGAAACGTTGAAGTACGTGGGTCAAACACCACCAAAAAATGCGAAAACAAATTCATAGTTAACGTTGCTTGTATTTTTTTTCTGGGGGGGGGGGGGGGGGGAGGGGGAGGGATTGCAATGGTGTGCTCCTGACAAATTAGGCCCGTAAGGGCCATACAGCCCGCAGGGAAATATTACCAGGACATTACAAGACCGGGAGTCTGTGACCGGTTAAGAATTCCGGAAAATCCCTCCTCCTTCCACTTTAGCCGCGAGCGAATGCTGGGGGGTGGAGGCGACCTCCTCTCCAGCGTTCCCTCTGCTAAGAGAAGTGCGAGGAGCTTCTCCTGAACTCTTAATGTGCCACCGACTATAGGTTATGGGAGGCCCGAGCCGCGTATGGAGAGATTTTGGTCATTGGGAGGGGCGGGCAGAGCCAGGGCGTGCATCAGACGCAGAAAGAGGGCTGGACATGCTCTCTTGGCCAACTAGAAGCCGAAAAGAATCCCCTAGCGGTAGTAGCGAGAAACAGTTTTAATAAGAGCATAAGGATTAAATGTAGTAACTCTTCATGGCTGAAAATATGGTGCACGTGATGTTTAGATTATGATCATGCAAAAAGATGTAAGAAACGAATGTGCTGCTCAAACTCTGTTTTGCTCGGACAGTGTGTGATCGCTGGGACGGCAGATTCTCGGCCATAGGCATTTGGCGTACGGATTATGTCGACTGTTCCGCTAGTTCCACTCTTCCACCTCGATTTTGGATGACCTTGACTGAAACATCACGTGCACCATATTTTCAGTCACCGAGAGTTACTGCGATGCACTTATCAAGTTTGTTTCTCGCGACCACCACCAGGGAATTATTTCCGGCTTCTGGTTGGCCGCATTCAAATTTCTGAAGACGCCCTGGAACACACCCAGCCCGCTTTTTGCCAATGGCGCCTCCTCACTTGTCTCCTATTTTTTCCAACGAATGGCCCAACTCTCTACATATACCGGTCTGGGGGAGGCCACCGAGCGTCTCGGAAATCTGCCCAGGGGCTCCACCAGAACGCAGGCACCGGCGGCGCATGCGGCAGCTTCAGGCTATGAAATTCTGCCTCTGCTCCCGCATTCGCCAGCCCTTTGGAACCAGTGACTTTTGCACCCTTCGTCTCGCGAAGAAACCAATACGTGACAAGTGGTTTCAGAATGATGACGAGGTGATCGTTGAAGTGGAACACTCTCTCGGGGCCAAAATGAGGACATATAAACAACCAGGATATACACATCAGTGTGTCACTTTCTGTAATTCATATGTGGAAATAGAGTAGCCTCACCATCGACGCTCGGGATCGCAGCTCTCATCCTTCATTGCAATGTCACGAACCTTATGAGCGCCCCTCACAAGGACACCCCAACGGGAATCGAACCCGTGATATCGCACTAACTGAGCAAAGCGGCGCTTCCTTTGTTCTTTCCAAAACAGGAAACAATATACCTGAGCTAAGCATGCTTAGCCCAGGTATATGGTCTCCTGTATATGATATATGGTCTCCGAGCGCCTGCATTGCAGTGTAGGTGCTTGGAAAAGAACAGAGGCAAGAACAGATGCGTGGGGAACATCTGCGCTAAGCCGTATTCCATGGAAAATTTACACCAGCTTGATAAAGCTGACCAAGTCCTGAAAGCACAGACTGTGCTAAACTCAAACCACGCACTTCATAGGTGGTTTGCACTTAGCATACTCCGGGCTCCATGGCCTCCTTCAGGGTCATCAATCTTGCGTGTTTTATGCGAGTTCTACTTGCGCATCGCTGAGCAGTGTTCGTATGTAAGACCTTCTGAATGAGTTCAGCCTCCTCATAGCGCTTTTTTTTTTCGCGCACCTCTTAGGCGCCCGTTTCCGGCTTGAGCGGCGACGCTGTCGGCGTTACCGCGCGTTGCATTATGGGCCGTTTCCCATAATGACGTCACGTCACGAGGGTTACCCGTGTGAGGGCCACGAGGGTTCCCCTCACGAGGGTCACGAGTGTTCCGAGGGTTACCCTCACGAGGGTTGCGAGGGTTGCCCTCCTGACATCAAACGTGACGTCACGTGTGACGTCATTATAGGAAATACGTGACGTATGACGCCAGGTGTGATGTCACGTGACGCCACATGCTGCTAACATTGTGAATATTCCCGCTAAATTTACCCTCGTGACATGTGGGACGTCGCACGCGACGTCCCGTGTCACGTCAGAAGGGTAAACTTTTCCAGCTAAATCTAGCGGGGAAGGAAGAGGGGCATACCCTCCCCTCTGTACCCTCCCCTCCTCCTCCTCACGAGCTGCGCTCTAATTCGGCGTAACAGAAAGTTGTAACCGTCTTTAATTGTTTATTTGCAGCCCTGCAGAGAGCGACAGCGCATAGATTGCATCCCTGGTTTACTTTGGAAGTCGGCATGCGTCAATCTTATATTCGAACTTTCTTCCGATAGCCAGGATGCGAGTCTCACCTCCAAGTCAGCGACACTCCTGTCTCTGTCTTCTTCAGACCCTGAGAGCCTTTCGAAAACACCTTCAGGGCATCGGCGTTGCTTTCCAGACTCTTATTTTTGGCTCGGAGCGAGTCGTAGAATAGATAATCACACAGGCCATCGCGCGGGAAGGCTTGTATCGTGTGGGCTGGACCCAGAGTGCAGAACAGCTTGCCCGGCTTTCTGGCTCTAGCTGCGTTAGCAAGAATCCTTCCATTACTCTAAAACAAAAATTGAGAAATTCCAAGATAGTGAAGCCCATCATGTTTCGTCTGCCAGAAATAAGTTCCACAACTGCCAGCCCCCACCCGTCCGGTCCCCGTTCGGCTTGCAGAAAAGCAAATCTCGCTTATTCTCGGGCCCCTTATATGCAGTCGAATGTCACGGGTATTTAAGAAGCTCATACTGTGCAAGGCTTGCGAGGCCTCAACAGAACCAACTCCTGAGGCTGCCCCTGTAACATAGCGGAGAAATAATAGCTGCAAAAAGGAGGTGAACAATTAAGACTCAAATGAATAAGCCTTTTGTCGGAAAGGGAAGGTTGAGTGTCTACGAGCTTCCCACAACACGTAATACATGTACAAGCCAGGAACACAAAAACAGCGAAAATTGTGCGCAGGTAATAAAAAGCGAATGTCTTACGTGTTATACCCGGTGGCCTGTGTTTTCCGGTCTTCCAGGTCAGTTTTGGCGTTGTGGTAGTCGTCGTGGTAGTGGTCGTTGGTTCCCTTGTCGTCGCTGGCTCTACTGTCTCGATCGGTTCTTTTGTTGTTCCCGGTTTTTGGGGGAGTGGTTCAGTTGTCGGTACTTTGGCGGTTTGTTCGCTTGTCATCACTGGCTCTGTCGTCGTTTTCCTCACGGTCGTTAGGGTAGACCGTCTCTGCCTTGAACTTGTCGTGCTGGCTTCGGTGCTAGCATTGCCGGACGGAGCGCCCTTCTCCGAAGGCGGCAGGTATCCTTGAGGCTTATCGTCGTCTTTGGTGCTCCCACCTCCGGATTTCTGTCTCTCTGAACTGCCGCCTTAAAAGACAAATCTCAAGTAGCGCTACACTGATGTGAGTATTGTCGCTCGCAAGGATGTTCGCGTGTTTACGAATGCCCTCCGTGAAGAGAACGGGGTAGCGACTGGCCGCAAAGCAGTGGCATAGGTTACAATCTATAGTCACCGAGAGTCGAAGAAACGGCAGGGTGTGGCGAGCTCCGAACATCCTCTCTCCGCAACGAATCAGAGGGGGGCACCGGTCGATAAGAACGCCGACGAACGAATCCCGAAGGAGAAACATAAAAAGCCACACCCTGCCTCCCTTGAACAGTGACTCTAGAACGGATTAAGACAACGAAAAAGCAAGATGTCTAGAAAACAAAGAAGGGCAACACTGACGGGCTAATGGGGGCTTCTAAATTTCCGTTATCACCTCACTAGAGTTTGAAAGTTCGGTGTCATAAAGGCAATATTAGACTGTTTTTCTAAATTGTTTTGATGATTCACTCCGCCAGCTCCCTTGCACATGCATCGGATCGTTCTCGGGGGTATCTGAGGTATCCGAAGAATCTACTGAAAATCTCTATTAACGAGTGGACGTTAAGGTGGAATTGTGATAAGTTTCTCTAGAAACCAACTCGAACAGCGTACACATTCAGCCTGCTGATGAGTCCGCTGTCACGGTGTACCACTCTACATATTCAAAAGCTCCTGGATGCATAACCCCACGACACCGTGAAATTTCAAAACAACTTTCCTTAATCAGTTCAGCCAATGAGAAGGTCAACCAATATCATGTTCCCTCGCTCGCGCGTCCTTGGTGGCAAAAGGAATGTGCATTTTTTGGCCACCGAGACTGCGTGAACATTTGGGGCAGAATACCGCTCGTCCTTTAAATTGATTAAAATGAATAAATGATTCGTATTCGTAATGCATCAGGTGTCACATTTACGGCGAAGCGTCTTATAGTCTACCAACGAACCACAGTAAGCGAGAGCTTAAGGGGCGCAGGAAGAGGCTACTCCCAAGCAGCTTACCACCGCTCCGCAGTAGGCTGGACTTAGGCTTAGACAGTAGGCTGGCCCATGCACGACGCTTTTAAGCAGCCGTGCATGGGCGCCGCCATAACCGACCTTGAGTTTTGCTTTCCTTGTACTCCATTTACTTCACTTCGTGATTACCGCAGCAGGGCAGTTCATTGCCATTTTACATTCAACCGCGTCCTTTTCCTCAGCAATGGCCTTTGTGTGGCGGCTCGTAAAGGTCCGTATCAGTGGCCAGGCATCTCGGTAAGACAAGAGAAGCTCAACAATGGCGGCTGTAATCTGGAGCGTGTTTAAAGCGTCTACACTTCAAACAGAACTTGGTCGCTGCCTTAAGGTTGGCAACACAGGCGTAATATTGGAGGGAGAGAGTCGGGTTCTGCTTTCTAGCTTAGACTGAACCGTGATTACACGTGTGAAATAACAAGAGCGCTCTCCAGCTGCCTTGGTGTTATACTTCGTTTAAGCTTAAGTCCCGATGCAGCCGACGCTACGAGCTCGAGGGACCAATCAAGCAGCGTCAAGAGCGCAACTCACTGGGTCTCTTTTGTTTATGATTAGTTCAGCGATGATAGAACAGATACAGAAGCATGACGAAAAGCATGATGGCGGGCCTTTGATGCTGTCTCACTGGACCCGTCAGTTGGTAGCGTCAGCTGCGTCTGGACTTAAGGTGCAACGAAGTAAGGGGCACTTCATGCCAGTATAGAGAGCAAGCAGTTGGCAGTTCTTTCATAGCGAATTCATGTCAGCGGGAGTTGATATCAAAACAGTGGGCGCGTCAAGTTAAGGCGCTCTAGCGCGCTCCAGAGGTCGTAGTGCGCTCCTGCTAAACTAAACGACATCGGGAGTTCTGACGGGTTGATAACCAGAAGGGGCGGATCCAGAGGAGCCCCTGAGGAGAAGCCCCATGAAAAAATATAAGGGGAAAGGGGGGGTATACCGTTACGGGGAGGGAAGACTGTAAGCGTCTGTGTATTTAAGGCTGGTTCACGCAGCCCCGATTCTTTACGTTACGTTACGTAAGCTTACGTACACGCCACCGGGATATCTGTGCTCCATAACAAGCGTGGCTACCGATTCGAGGAGGTACACCTGGCACGCGACATTCGAGACACGAATATTTCGATGTCTTAGACGTAGCGTAAGAACACGGTGCTGGGTGAGTCAGTCTTTAAAAGTTGAACCGAGCTCAACTCCTTATGTTACGTTACGACGCACCTTGTGTCCTTTGTTGCCACGGTAATTCACCTGTCTCGCTCCTCATCACCGAAACAGTCGTGTTTAGAATGCCGCGTGCCAGGCTATTTCCTTGAATCGGTAGCACGCTTAATACGAAGCACAGATTTTTCGGTGACTTAAACATAAGCTTTTGTAACGTAACGTAACGTAACGTAAGGAAACGGGTCTGCGTGAACCAGCGTTTAGTCATGAAACCCCACTGCAAGCTTCATTGCGTGTTGCTTGTCCGTTACAACGCACGTATAAATAGTAGAGAGCGGTCATTACTCCTGAGCGACGGTTCTGACATCTCCCGTTTCGAAGCGGGAGCTAAAGGAATGTTTATATAAGTCTGCACCCACTTGGCACAACTTAAGAGTAGAGATTAGTGTTTTCAATAACAACCGATAAACCGCGAAAATGAACCCCCGGGTCTGTCTTATCAAACTTGGGAAGACCCTCAAAACTCCAAATTTGAAGTGTCCTCAAATAATAAGAGAAACCCGAGCTTTGTGGGAAGAAAATTTTATCTCAAGTTTTCTGTTCTTTTTACACAAAACACCTGCCACAATTAACCGCGCTCGAGGCTGGTTTTTACTGTGGAACACATCTCGTTGCTTTTCCTTGGCGGTACAGGGAGGCAAAGTAGAAATTTGGGCTAGTTGGTTCATGATCAGTATTTACAGCGCCAAAAAAACGACAGGACAAAGACGAGAGTAAACAGGACGAGGCGCACTCGCAACTAAAGTTTATTTAGGAAAAAACACATAATATATAGGCCGTTAAAAATGCCTATTCATCCCATCAATCCAGAAGACCTCTTGATAAAATCAAACTCTTTCCCTGAGAGGGCAAGGGAAGGCTCGCTAACGCATTCATCTCCCTTTGCTCTAATCTCAAACGCCTCGTGCACTTCTCGGCATATTTTATCTTTGTATTTCGCCAGAACCTTCACATCATGCAGAACTGGTGAGCACGGGCAGCGGCTACAATGAACAGCTAGGTTACCAGACGGGCTTGCTCTCATAGCTGACGCATGTTCCCGTGCACGATCATTGACACATCTGCCAGTCTGGCCGATGTACACGGAGCCGCAAGTCAGCGGAATTTCGTAAACCACTCCGACGGCACACTCAGCATATTTGGTTTTGTGTTTTGTGCCGCACTGCCCCATGTCTGTCTGGGGATTATTGATTCTACGGCACAAGCGTGCCATCTTTTCCGGAGCTGAAAATACTACGGGTACTCTAAACCGCTGTGCAACTTTCTTTAAATTATGGGACATGGCATGCAAGTACGGAATAATTACCGGTCTCGTTTTTGGCTTCTCTCTTGCCCGATTAGTTGCCCCTTTGAATTTTTTTAACAATCCTTCTGCAACCTCAGTCAGGCATCCTTGTGGGAAACCTGCTTTCTGCAGGCGTGAAATCTGTAGATTAAAGCTGTCTTGCACAGAATGTTCACAAGATCGTTTTAGGGCCATCTCCAAACACGTGCTAGCAATGCCCCTTTTTACCAATTTTGAATGGGCAGACTCGTACGGCAGGATGCATTTCTTAGATCTTGGCTCGTACGCCCAACATATGTGACTCTCCAGAAAGCGTAGTTTTCTGGAGGGTTTCCTGTTTACTCTCGTCTTTGTCCTGTCGTTTTTTTGGCGCTGTAAATACTGATCATGTACAGGGAGGCCTTTCTTTTTTTCGGACCACGTTCACCGGAGCCTGGGGCATTTCACGCCCCTTCAACACAATCTCCGAAGAAACCCCGATTTTTTGTCCAACACCAAATTCGTTAACGAAGAACACCGATCTGCGGGAAAAAGTAAACCCCGCCAAAACATCCGCGAATTCGACGAATCATAAAACCCTACCTAATACCTATTAGCTGGGCACCAGAAACACGTACAGATGCGCTCGAAGCAAGGCTAGCTCTAGCTAGATGGCGCTCCAAAGTTTGACCAGGCTCACTCGCGATGTTTACACAAGGAAAGAAGAATGCCGGCCTTGATTCGTGAGTTATGAGCCATAGAAGCTTTCATCACAGTCGCCGAGTACAATTAGGCAACCATCTCTTTCAGGTCCTCAAAATTAGTTTCAGCTTTTCCGATTGCCTGGCGACATTTGTGCGTAGGTTGTTATGCGACGAAATGTTCGCCTAAAAGGTAAATAAGTTAAAGGCCATATAAAAAAAACCTTACTATTTTCGCCTGAACTGTACAGGGAGGGATGTATTCGATAAGGTGCATAAGGGCAAGCAAGTGTTTGTCTGCTCGGATACCGTACAAAAACAAATACTAATCACACATCCCGGGAATCAAATTCAATTGCTCATTGCCATTCAGGTAGGGTCATAGGGTGTAGGCTTGACTAGCTTCGACTAAGCTAAACGTTTTTTTTGTGTTCCCACGCAGGCCCCTCGAGATATCGGCGTGGTAGCTAATGACGTCTCCTCTCTTCTTGCTAAGGCTCTCCGAATGAATTTTTGGAAACGGTAACAAAAGGTTTTCGAAGTTTGTAACCCGTAGCTTTTCCCCCTCAGAAGTACTAATGGTATAGAAGGCATCACGCCTGGATCGAGAGGGTGCTCGGAGGAAAATAATGACCCCAGAAGAGACCAGACAACCTGACGCCCGCGAAAATGTTTCCTATTTCTGTCGTTCCATACTCTGCTTCTTTTCGACGTTCTTCGGCCGAAGCCCACCAAGGACGACGGTCAAGTTGGCTAGTCTAAAGCCCATTGGCAAATAGAGACAGGCTCCTTTGTTTTTTTTTGTTTTTCGCAACGCGTTGCCAGGAGGACGCGTGGGCGACTTCCCTTTTCCTGAAGTGGAAGCCGCAAAAAAGCGAAACCAATACATGGTTTGGACAAACATCGCAGTAGTTCGACTGTGTAGTGTTAAAACTTCCAAATTCGAAAGTTGGAATTTCCCGTGTTCAGATACAAACGTTTTGAGTTCATCAAATATTCTTGCCTTCCTCCCCCTTCCCCCTGGATACGGTGCCTGGAACGCGTCTCCGACTGGTGTGTTTACCGGGTCCAAAAAAGTGGCCCCTCGATTTCCGCCTGATGACGTCACAGAAGTGTCATGCTGTCGCCTGTGGCGAACCTGGCGGCGTCCCATTAACTGTGGTGGATGTGGCAGACGCCTGTTCTGCTGCAGGTCGCTCTCCAATGCGGCAGTCCACGAAAGCTAAAGCAGCTGGAAGTTGGGACGCCTGGAACACTGTGACAACGGCGGCACTCGCGTTGGCCTGTGGTTTTCGCCAGCATTTCTACGACCAACCGCCAAGATCGCGACAGGCAACAGCATGACACTCCGGCTTCTGTGACGTCATTTTGTGCCACTTGGGCACCACTTTTGATGTATGGGCGGGATAGGACACTAAACACACGAGTCGGAGACGCGCACCAGGCACCATACCCTGGGTCCGCCACTGGTTTCCGATAACATAAGGCATTTGCGCTGTTTCTGCTTTCGCGTGGACTCCCCCGCGTCTCGCCAAATGCAGCTCTTGCCGTGGCCGCTGTCTCCGCGCACTCATTTTATCGAAGTCGTCATCCAACAAACACTTAATGAGTTTAGACGGGACGGGAGTCTTGTTTCCGCGCGTCGAGGACCGGGAACATTGAAAATAGGCGTGAGACGGCGCCTTGTCACTGAGGCGGTCGAGCACAAGTACCCAGAGTCTGGAGCTCGCTTTAAGGCGCCCATTTCAAATGTGAGGTGCGATCTATAGCGGTTTGTGGCCTTTACCGCCTGCTTTTCAGCGCTGAACACGATTATTGCCACCCCAGAAAGAAAAACAAAATGTAACATTCACAGAAGCACTGCCAATACAAATTAGGTAACCGAGACGGTACTTATTTAATCAAACGAGTAGTAGGACTCGCCATTATTGCGAATGTTCATATTCCTGTAGAGTACGGCTCTCTAGTCCTTCTTATATCTCAATCTTTCCGACGGTCGTTGGTGTCATAGTAAGGATAAGTTGCAGCAATATGTCCAGCAGAGACCCCAAAGGCTGCTTAGTTACTCTAAAACTACCGAAAAGCGGAGCCTAGCAAAGCTCGAGAGTTCGCATTTTCAATGTGAAACTTAAAAAGTATAAGTCAAGCGAAAGTTTAAGAATAAAAATTGAAGATTATGGAAGCTTTAGAATGGAGTATTATGAGAATTAATTTGTTATGAAGATCACAACACGCCCAGAGTCGAATACCTCTCCACCAAAGACGACACCCTATAGTCATAGCACCGCGTTAGTGGCTGAGAAATATCATTACCACAAGTTGCCACCACTGAGGAGAACAACGCCCAGAAGTGATTCCCAAGTATAGAACCATATAGTATACGTACAGTGCCCCTCAAACTTAACGCCGCCACTCGGTTACACTCGGTTACGCAAATATTGATCTATTGCATGCTACTCAAAGATAAATTGGTCGCTGCAGCTGCTCGAATACCTTCCGCTGGTTGAGTTCTTATCGGGGACGCAAATGTTCACCAAGTAGTTCGACCACTAGGTTCAGGAATAGCTCAACAAATGAATAAAGCGGACGATCTAGTGGCGGCGTTAAGTTTGAGGGGCACTGTACATGCAGTTGTTTCCTGTTCCTATGCCCTCCCAAAGCTCCGCGAACACGGTTAAAACAGATTGTGTAGTATGCTGACGTCGTTTCAATGTTTGACAATTGTTCTCATCCTGACACAGCTATAGCCACTGCCAGAATGAAAACGGCGGGGCCTCTCTTTGGGAAGACCTCCAGGGCGGACTCGCTGCCTCCGGCCGTCCATCGGCTACGCGTCCAAGCTCGAAGTTCACGAGGCGCCCAAGCCAGGAAGCTCGCGCGGGACGATGGACAACCGAAGGAACTCCCTGTCTTCTTTATTCTTTCAGCGACTATACGGGCAGAAACAGCGGGAGAGGAGCAGATGAGAGCGCGCGGGGTTGACAGAGCGCCGACCTCTGGTCGGAATGATTAGTGGATGAAGGCAAAGCTAGCTGCCTTTGTCTCTGCTCACTGTTCGAACGCGTCTGCCCACTCATCTCCAACCACAGCCTCCTATATACTGACAAAGCCTCGCAGATCGCCACGAGAAGAGGCCGCCGACATGGAAAACATGGAGCGGCAGACAACGGATGACAGGAGAGCCACGTGACTGGCGCCCCGCTGCGGCGAGACGCCGAAAAACACTTTTCCCGAGCGAACAAGTGTGTTTCGGGTCCTCGGCGCTGCAAAAGCTGCGCGCTGACGTCCAGGTTTCCCGAGAATTGGCTCTTTGATGCTCTGACGTGCCAGATCCTCGCGCTCCAAATCTGCATGCGACAGGGGCACTCTATGGCCCCGTCGTCGAGCTGCTGCAGGCTTTGGGAGTATCTATAGGAGGCTATGTGTCAATACGCTCTGACGTCCCCCAGCGGGTTCCCATCCCATCCTCTTCTTCGGATGTTCCACTCATCCGGTAAAAATTTTTTTTTTTTACATTTAGCAGCCAGTATTTAAAATACGGCGTTCGCTTTTTGCCTTACCTTTCAACACAAACAGCGCTATCATGATGAGGATGAGTAGGACAAACCCTACCCCGACAATGACTAGGGTCGCCTTCATCTTTCCATCATCCGGTGGGCTGCGTGCGAAGATGTAACGGCACAGGTATAACGTGAAAAGGCAGACTGGGCAAAGCGATGCTCGCACGATGAGCTGCAGCCGAGCGCTCACGGCGTAAAATTTTGCACTTGGAAATGTGTCATTCCGTGTCGTCCACACGCGCGTCCGTGTGAACGTGCTGGGTTTGGTCAGCGTATGCGAACGTAACAGACCATAAAAATTGTAAAGCACACGTTTTTTGCGATTTATATTGAGATAGAGAGAGAGAGAGAGCGAGAGCGCGGATGTTTTATTCTGAAGGCATCGAGTCCTCGCGATAGTTTTCGTAAGCGCGCAGCCCAGACTTCAGTTATCCTCTGTCTTCCGATTGAGACAGGTTACATAATGTCGTATACCGACCCCGACGCTACGCTGGCGCGAGCGCACGTGCGGGTCAGAAACGAGGCCGGGCCAGGGTTCCGCGCGCCATGCAAACGCATTCGAACACCGAACCTCCACCAGCCAGAGCGGCCTTTCTCGCGCTTACTTTTTGTAGTAAAAGCCTATGGCGGGACAGAGCTTGAGCCTACGATGTGTCCGTCTCACTCGGTACTTAGCGCAGAAATATAGTTTTGGTGGCGTATCTAAGTTACTTATACACCCTAAGTATATATAATCTCTGCCCAAGACATGGAATGTCACTTCTGGCTACATGCGTGTAAGCGCAAGAAACACACTAGACTTAAAGGGAAACTGAAGCGGTTCTGTATTAGAGTAAAAACGCTTAAAGCATCTTCATTTAACGTCCAAAATAAAAAAAAATATATCATGATTTTTTAATTTTTTTTTTTTTATTTGGTGTATTTAGGCTACAGAAAATCGTGTTCAAAGTGCCGCTGAAGCCCCTCCTCCCCGGAGCGTATTAGGAAGTTTCGGAATCTCTGCTCTCACGCATCTTCAGCGCCTATCAAAGCTATGCACGCGCACTCTCCCTATTTTCAAACCGGCCAGAAAAGACGTCACGGCTGGTGTCAGGGCGGGGGGAATCTACCCGGCAAGCTCCCGATTGCACGCGCTGCCCACACGAGCGACACGCAAATGGCGGCCCAAAGGTCATTTTATGACGTAACGACTCGCCGGAGGTTGTTCGTGTTTACTCGGGTTTAGTTGCATATTCGGGGCAAACGAACGGGATATTTCGATTCACGGGAACTCATCTCTAATTCGTGTTTTCTCAAGAACCTCCTCAGCTTCCCTTTAGGTGATACTGGAATCTGTCGGAATGGAACGCCGTAAATATTTGGCTTATATATATTATTATTATTATTATTATTATTATTTCTTTTACGCCTTTTTGTACCCCATTTTCGTGGTTTTCGTGTAGTGTCGACTGATAAAATAAAGGTACATGTGGTTATTTTATCTCAAAACTCAATAAAGGCACACCTGAAATTGATCTTTCGTTAAGAATTGTCTTGTATGTACAAAGACAAACATTTAGACGTGAAACCTAATTTTTCGTGAGCCGTGGCAAACTCATGTCAGAACCGCCCTTGTCATGCACTCTACCCACAAGGCCAATATACACAATCCTCGTCAACACCTCGTCGACACCTCAAAGAAAAGGCTAGCATCGGGCATAGTCCCTACGCTGAGCAAACTAGTCCTTACATTATTTGAGAAAGGAAATCGATCCTTTTCGCTTTTGAAACGTCTATGCTTTGAACCAGAAAATTATCGAATTTAAAATTCACGTAAATATATCTTTATTCACCGCATCAAAATGATAAAGCTACGCAAAAAAAGAGAAGCATTATTTTTTTCGTTTATTTAGGTAAAAGCAAGTACGGGCCTGCTTCTCGCTTCGGGTAGGGCGAATTGAATACATCACATTTAAATGACCAAAATAATCAGGCTTCCAGTGGCATTGACAGAGAAAATACTTTCGGTAAGAGCTACTTTATTTTTAATGATAATGCAAGTAATGCAAAGGTGCAAGCGAGCTGGACAAGAATAACGATAAGAATCCCCGGAGAAGGGAAACAAGGGGGATAAAAAAGCACAAATCTTTAATCAGAACTAGGTGACTTGCGCGCGACTGAAAAAATCCGCCTGGTCCTGGTATCGAACGACTGACCTCCCCATTTCCAGCGGAACGCCCTACCAACTGAGCTAACCTGGAGTTCGACGTGAGCAAACGGGTTTTATCAGCTGCCACCAGTCTAACACCAACAAAGGTGAACGTTCTGCATTTTTAAGGGTATAATGATAATCCTGTTAAGGCAAAGGTGCAAGCGAGCTGGACAAGAATAACGATAATAACCACCGCCTATTTGTCTTTTTTTTTTTTTTTAGTTTCGTTAGACTTGCTTGGCAGCTAAAAAAAAAAGAGAAACGTTTGTGTTACTCTGTGCATGTGTACTCATATTATGAGCCTAACCCTGCCCTAAACACACATGTACAGTCTCTGAATTAACTGACGCCATGTGTTCGTAGCATGAAAGGGGTAGTAATAGGCCTAACTAGAAAAGCCGCCTCGGAATGCGATATATCATGTATGGATATTTATCATAGCGCGACTGATTCGCGTCCTGTTCGTTGCTGGTGTTGTTTCAAATGGGACTTTTCCGGGATGTACAGCGTTTTTTCGAAACATCTGTCTCGGGTGAATTATAGCAGACGAATCTTACAAAAACGTCTGTTTCCGAGCCTTACGTTGGAACTCCTGTGGACATGAAATAGTCATTGCGTTTTCAAAATTAAAATAAAAATGATTTCAAAATAACAAAAAGAAAGCGCACAACCGCTACAGAATGCACCTTTTCCCGTCGTTGCCGTCTTTGCCATCGAAGTATCCCCCGCTATAAAGAAAAGAGAAAAAAAAACGCAATTGCGTTTAAGTCTCACAGTTCTAAGAATTTAAGGTGGCCCGCTGCAGCCGGGCGCGGAGCCGCCGAATATCGGAAAATATCTTCGTCGCTCAATAAAGTAGAATTAAAACTCTCTGCTCTGGCCTTTGCATCCTCCGCTAGAGGGTTGGGTCTCGGGTTTGGGGGAAGGGATGGGTTACGGAGGGCGGAAGGTCCAGTAAGAGTCGAAGAAACACGTCGTACTCCCTACGGCGGGGGCGAGAGACCAATTTATTCGGAAGGTGCAAACCGAGCGCTACGTTTCGAATAACAGGCAAAGCCCCACGCATAAAGCTCCCATGCTCGTCATGATTGACAGTTTCCTCCTCTCCACTCACCTCCTCTCCAGCGTTCGCTCTGCTAAAGTGGGGAGAGTGGAGGGCTTTGGTGGGGAGGAGCGCGTCCTGCCATTCTGAACACGCAGCAGACTACAAAAGCACGACGCCTGGAGCACGTTTCCGACTGGTGCGTTCACCGCATTCGAAAAAGTGGCTCTCGATTTCCCCCGAATGACGTCATAAAAGTGTCGCCGGCCGCGATCCTGGTGGCGTCGAAGCAGGGGTAGTGGATGTGGGGAGACGCCGGTTCTGCTCACGCGACTCCAGCGACCTATAGGGGGCGCCACCACCAAACAAACATGGCGGCTGAGTCCAGGTCGCGGCGGCTCGGCCGTGCCGCCTGAACAGGTGGCGCGTTCAATTTAACAGATTTTCTTTTGTTTAATGCCTAATTTTATATGTATTTGAACTGAGACGGTTAAGTGTAGCCGGTGCAGATAAACCTGCAAAGCATAGTTTTGTTTTGCCGGTGTTTTTTTGTTCTTTTCGTGTCAAACTTTCGTTTCGGAGATTTCGTTCAAAACCGAAACTATGGGCTCCGGAGAGACGGTAATATACTAATCAGTTTTGATCATCTAAGGAAAGCGGCGATGACTATAGAATTATTCCACAGACAGTAACTTTTCAGCTAACTCGCATGCCTCGACCATGCGACTTATCTGTCCGCGAAATCGAGCTTTTGTGCGAATCCGCGTTTACAGAACAGCTCCAGTCGTCTGCTCGGCCAACAACACAGGCTGCAGGAAAATTACGAAAATTAAGAATGTAGACGTATATTGCTGCTGGCTTCGACGTCCTCGTAATATAAATATTGGAGGCGCGATAGGTCAAAATGCCGTGACAGCATCTAACGTTGCGAGACTTGTCTCCCACCTTTTGAAAACAGATAATTTCCCTCATTCATCATTTGCAGCGAGCAAGTTTTCCTGAATCAAGTAATTGCGAAATCAGCCCAACTCCTTCAGTGTGGTCCAGAGGCTTTTTTTGCGAAAAGCAGCCAAGATGAATAGCCAACGCACCGACCGGCGTGGGTGGCTCAAACTTGAAGCTAGCCGAACGCAACCAAACTCAAGAAAAGCAGCTATCGAAGCTTCCCATTCACTTGACTGCAACATTGATGTTCCCTCCAGTATCAGTTACCAAGCACTCGTCACTTTGAATGTGATTCGAGACAGACAAGAAATCAAAAAGTTTTTTCCGTGATTCCTCCCCATCCAAGAAATCGAAAGCACACGACCGTGTGCTGTGGAGTAAACGGGCTTTCAAACACGTAATAGAAGAAAACAATCTACTGAGGCTTCCCCACACTAATGATCACTCAGGCAAACTGAAGAAATATTCGGACCTTCGTCAAATTACATTGTTCGCCACCGCGCCGACAACACGTGTCCGCGAAAGCCAACAGAGACGCGGAGGGGCGCGGAGCGACCTGGACCGGCTGGTTCCCGGTTTTCCCGCTTGGCGGCGTCCGTTTTGCTGGAGTCGCGATATTCGGCGGTCAGAAGTTGGGACGCCGCGATGACAATGACACTCACGTTTGCTCGTCCTTTTTTTTTTTGATGAGCCCCTACGCCGAAACGCCATGGACTCTCAACATTCGACAGCCTGACACCGCGGCTTTTGTGACGTCATTTGTTGTAACTTTGGGACAACTTTCGGCGCATGGGCGGACGCTAAACAGACCAGTCCGATGCGCATATAATGTCATGGTGAGAAAATCTTCGATCCGTCTCATGCGAGAGGCACGCTGAAGCTTAGCGAGAAGACGCGACAAAGCGGTCGGTAGACGCGTGCGATTTGGCGTCGCCGTGTGCTAACGTCGCGCTCGTTGTGGGACGCTGCCAGACGCGACCGTTGCGAGCAGGAAGTCGCGAACTTTTAACGAGAGCGAGGTTCGGTGTTCGACTGGTGTGGTCAAACGAAGACCTTTTCTGGCAAAGTACGACCAAGGTCGACTTTAGAGCAGAGCGGCCGGATTTGTGCGCGGAAGCTAAAAGCAGGGGGGGGGGGGGAAAGAATTTGTACGGCGGTTTGTTCTATTACTTTCGAAAATAATGAAGTGATATTTACAAAATAGAAAAAAAAATAATAAAGCCTGAATTATTTAGAGAGTGTTTTCTTAACTGAAAGAAATATACCTAAAAAAATATTGCGCCCCTCCTTCGTTAGGTTGCGCCATCTTAGTTTGAAGTTTAGGCTTAGAATT